AACTCTCTCTCTCTCTCTCTCTCTCTCTCTCTCTCTCTCTTTCTCTCTCTCTCTCCCTTTCTCTCTCCCTCTGTTGGTGCTTGTGACTGAGCATGACTCCAAGGTGGTGGTCTGTGAAGGAGATGAGGATATTATCTGGAGGGAGGAGTTTCTGTTTTTCAATAGGCTCCTCTTAACTATGAGGCTGATACTTTCATTTAATCAGCACATCTGAATTGAACATGGGCCAAGCATTGGAGGAATAAAAATACATAAGATGAACAGTACTTTGAACCCCTGACATATGCAATTGCTTCAGTGAAAAAAGAACCTCATGGTTGTTAATCTACACTTTTTACTCTGTGCATCATCTTATGCTCCTAAACACTATTCCCAGATTTTCCCGTTCTTATGTAGATCAATGTTGAAAATAAACAGCTTGTGGAATTGGTAGGATATTTATGTTCTTATTTTATCTCTGCCTCAGAAAGGCTGTATGCATTGGATGAATGACCAAATTTCAGGCTTAAGTCAAATGAGGGCAGTAAGGCCTACTCTTCTCACCGAAAGGAACTGCATAGAAGAAATGACATTGAGAACTTATCTTACTATAACTCATCATGCGACTAAGCAAAAATTTTTATGGAATGGAACAGATTGGCTTCAGGTTGTGGTCCACTTTTATTGGTAAGTATTCTGCATAACCCACTATATAGTGTAATTTCAATATTTGACTTGTCTCTTTAGGTTTCAATAGCCAGATTTGAACCCTATTATGTATGAATAAATTTGGACACACAGTGAAACTTATTAGTAGAAAAATTTATTGTTTTATTCATTCAACAAGTATTTATTGAACATGTATTATGTGTCAGGCACCACTTTAGGTACTGGGGATATAACTGGCAAAGATCCCTGTTCTAATGGAGTATATGTTCCAGTGGAGAGAGACAGAAACTAAACAAGGAAGTAAATGATGTGTTAAGCAATCAGCAAGAGTAAAAAGAAAACAGCAGGGTAAGGGCAGAGAGTGATATGGAGATGCTACTTTATGTGGAGTGATCAGATCTGGGAATGCCTTCTGGAAAGGGGGACACCTGAGCAAATAATTCAAGGAAGGGACTGAACCATGTGAATCTTGGAGAGGGGAGGAGAGTTTTCTTGATAGATAGAAAGGCAAATATAAAAGTTCCCAGAAAGGAATGTGCTTGGAGTGTTCAAGAAATAGCACGGAGGCCAGTGTGCCTGGACATAGTGAGTGAAAGCAATAGTGGTTGTGGGTGAGGTTGTGGGCTGGTACTTGGTAGATACGGGATGACTTTGGGTTTTTATTTTGAATGTGACAGGAAGCCATTGGAGGGTTTTGAGTAGAGGAGAAACAAGATACGCTTTAACATTTAAACAAGATTTGTCTGGCTACTATGTCCAGAGTAAAATGTGTGTTTGGGAAGGAGATAGGTATGGGGTGCTGGGGGAAGAACAAAAGGAAAGCAGGGACTAGTTAGGAACCACTGAAAAATCCCATGTGAGAAATCTTTAGTGGTCTTGTTCAACAATGTTATTTGCAGAAGGGAAAAATTATTCCCAGAGAGATGAATCTACTTACCGGTTAGACTTGTAGAATGGCTGGTAGAAGAACACAGGAAGCCTAATTATAATTAAAGTGTCTTTCTACTCTACTTTAGCTCCAACTAAAGTGAAGGACATGTGAAAGAAGATTGTGAAAATCTACAAGGGCAGGAAACTTATCTGGCTTATTATTGACATATACATTCATTTTATATATATACATATATAAATTATATACATGAATAAACACACACACTTTGACTCATGATGGGGTTATATCTGATAAACTCATAGAATCTTGAAAATATAATAGGTAGGAAATGCATTTAGTACACTTACAAAACATCATAGCTTAGCTTAGTTTATTGTAAATATGCTCAGGGTACTTATATTAACCTACAGTTGGGCAAAAACACCTAACACAAAGCCTATTTATAATAATGCGTTGACTATCTTGTGTGATTTATTGAGTCCAGTACACTGTGGAGTATTGTTTGTTTACACTTGTGATTGCATCAATGACTGGGAGCTGTGGCTTACTGCTGCCACCCAACATTATTAAAGAATATGGTATTCCATATTGCAAGCCCAGAAAAAGATCGAAATTCAAAATTCAAAGCATGGTTTGGTTTCTACTGAATGTGTATCTCTTCCCAACCATCATAAAGTAAACAAAACAAGACAAAAATGATAAGTCAGGCCCATAGTGAATTGGGGACCACTTGTATACATAAAGTACCTGGCACATAGGGGATATTCAGGAAATATTTCTTGCAGGGATGAATGAATGGATTAATAAAAGGGATGAAAGAAAGAAAAGCAAAAATGCTGAGCCAGAGGGCCTGGAGAGAGAAGAAGGACAACAGGAAAGAGTAGTGATAATCAGGTGAGATTACATTGTTCAGCTTATGTAATTAACATAATGCAAGCCTCTGTCCATAATGACATTCACAGAGGAGAATGCTGGGTGCTTCAACATTGCTTTGACAGGCTTCAATGATAGTTTGTAAAGAGAGATGGATATTTGGAGCAACTGAGCAACTTGCCTAATTGTGCTGAAGTATGATGATGAATTTGAGACTGAGAATGGAACTGTGGAAGAGCCTTTCTTCCAAGGAGCTGAGGCTTCCTGCCAGCCTTTCCTAACACAAGTTAGAGAATGCCCTTGCTACCTTTTTCTGCAAAAATCTGTTCTTTGTTTTTAAAGAAGGGAGCTTAGAACTACTTTGGAAATCTCAGTGCACCAGAAGACTCTTTAGCCATATGGAGTAGATGAGTAGGATATGAAGAAAACTTTTCCTCCCAATTTACTGGCTAGTCACCTAGTGCCCCGAAGAGTGAGATGGCTGGCTGGATCTAGGTCTCAGGATTATCAGGTGATGGCTCCTAATCCCTTGACTCCAAGGCCTAAAATAGAAGAGAAGGTAGGATCAGTGAGGAAGAAATGAAGGCCTCATATCAGTGCCGATCACATCCTGGCTTTCTTCCCAGAGAAATTCCCAATTTTCTTTTGAAGTCAAGTGTATACTTGTATTTTGGGCCCTAGTAGGTTGACATTCATTGAGAATTTTCATTGTCTTCTTATGCTTCACTTCCATCTTTCTCTCAAACCTCTTTCTCTTTTTCTTCCTACTTTCTTC